AATATAAAATATAGTATATTTATGAGAGAAAGAAGAAAACTGTAAAAATAATATCGTAAAAATCCATTATAATAATATATAGATATCAATAACGCAATATTCTTCATAACCCAATTATAATACTCTAATACTTAGGTGTTATTCTTGTATAATGCACAAAATGTAGATAAGGTGCAGTTATTGAATTGAAAATTTGATTTTAACATCAATTTCTTACAACAATGTTCTGTTATGTAGAATGAAGTTATAACATAAATGATAAATCTTACAATTCAAAGTTTTAATGTAATATATGTACATATAACTATAGCGTATAGCGTGATACATATGCGCTTAACACGATAAAGTCACTACGGGCTTATCGAACAATTATCTCTTGTAGAGAACATTTGATTAAATATTATACCAGTGCAACTGTGATTACATCACGCAAACGTAATGTAATCAATAAAATTATATAATTTTCACATAAACATTATGTTAAAATAGTGTTATTATTGTTTTCCTTATTTATAAGTTATATACAATAAAGTTTTACTCGGTATCTGTGATTGACCCAATTAATGATATTCTTTCACTATAATAATATAATGGAATATGTAGAGCGTTATTCGTGATGATCCTGGCAAGCAGCTGTGTTTTATTTTCAGTAATATCCCCAATATTTCATCGGGAAGAATTTGAGAAATCGTCATGAGAGAGATTATAAATTTTAAACGCTATTATACAATTTCCTTAGACTTGACGTGATAAAAATCGTGTATAAACTCGTCTCAATCCGCCCGATTAGAATATACGACTTGCGCTATTGGAATCGTTCCAAAGTCAATTTGTTCCTTTCGACGTTAAACTTTCCTTTCGGCGCGTCTAGTTTAATTGTTCTCTCGTAACTTGAAACTTATACCGACAACGATCATTAACGGACGCGATGAAACACGCACGATGATAAGATCAAGGTTCAGGGCTGCCACGGTTGTTTTGCAAAGTCACACTTACATTATTATGGACGCAATGATTTATGCGAGAGCCTTCTCGGCCTCGCTCGGTTTAGGGTAGTTCGTCGCGTGCGGACAAATAAATTACGAAATTGTACGTGCCAGTCAACGATCGGCAACTGAATGACAAAAGATCACGTCACGTTTACTCGCGACATTAGCGAAGTAATCGAAAGTGCAAATTCAAAGTTGTCGAAACGAGAGACTACTCTTCGAGTATATACTATGCAAAAAACGCTAGACACGCGACTTGCAATTCCTCCGAAATTGACAATAGATAATTGTATCTATTGGATTCATTCAATTATACAAATTCCCTTTATACCTAATTTGGATTATTCTTATTAAGGTTAGACTTGATATTATTTTTTATACAAGTCACGTCATTTTCGTTCCGTGAAGTTAATTAATGCCTTTTTAATTAACATAATTAGTGCCTTTTTCATTAGCATAAATTAAATGGGCTTTACAGACAACGTTAGTAGCGTCAGTGTTAAAGATTTCGACGTCAGCTCCGCAAAAATTAATCAATTTGCGATTAGCATCGCGACGACGACGTTAATTTCGATGATTTCACAATGACGAAGGTCGACGTGAGAACAGCGAGTGTGCAACCTTGATCGTCTCATTGAATGTCGCGTAATTTTACGTTACACTGCGAGGAAATGATAATTCTAGGAGTATTAACGCAAGGTATACAAGTTGCAGGTTGCAACGTTGGTAAGTATAACTCGTTTGACATAGGCAACGAGGACATTTGTTTCCTTAACCTGCAACGTGTCTGTCGGGTATATACATACAATAAATTCTTGTTACAAAACTGAGAGAAGCTCTTACGAGCAATCGGAGTGATGAAAATATCACGTAAAGAAATTGAAAAAAATTTCTGAGATATAAAATGTTACATATTTATCACGTAGATATGACTTTATATGTACACTATTTTAGTTTATCCAATGACATACATTTCTACGTAAACGTACTTTCTTTCTTTAACGAATTGATATTTGTTCGCAAAAACGGTCTCTCTCTTTCTCTTTCTCTCACACACACACACATACTATATATACACATGCATAGATATTTTTTTCAATCAATTTAAACAATAAACAGCTTGGCAATTAAAACTACACAAAAAATATCACTTTTATAGCTCGATATAATACATGTATATTATAATTATAAAAATTTATAATATATATTTAATTTTTGGAGGGCAAAAACCTCCTTGTGATTTGTATGTAATAAGTAAAATTATATTTCACTGTAACGAATTAAAGTAAAAATTTATGTTTTCGGCTTCATTTTACGGATTCCGCAGTTATTTCATTTTAAAATGTCATTTTTTTCAAATGTAATTACCAGTTTCTTTCCAAATAAGAATATTTATATTTCCTTTTTAATGAAAATTTAAGAGTTCTAGATTTTATTTAAAAAAGTGACAAAGAAATAATAAAAATTACATGGATGATTAATAAAATTATCTCCAATTCATCCTTCATTGGTGCAAATTACAAAATAACTACATAATCCTAACATATTTAATATAAAGTATCACGAATCTTCTTGACAGGCAAATGAACTGGAACTCTTTTTGATGCTCAGCAATTGTTATTCGCAATTTTTTTAAATAAATTTTGCTATAAATATCTATATATTTGCAGATATAAAATAAGATATAAAATATATTAAAATAAATATGTAAATTTAAACGTTACTATTTCTATTTCTTACACACAATAATTGTACTCCCGAAAAGGCTCTCTTCATCTTGGAGTTCAGGTCAACCGGCTGATCCGGTCAGTCCGATACCGCTGGTCGGACGGTCGTCCGTTCGATGCGAAAAAGACGACTGACCCGATTTTTTCTTCTCTTTCTGCGCGACGTCACTTCTTCAGTGGCCCGACGTCGAGTGTCGTGCGAATAATTACGAAATTCAACGGGTGCGGCACAGGGGCACACGTATCTCGTGAATCTCGTCGATCTCGTCGACGGATTTACCGGCGGCCGTTGGCCCCGCAGTCGCCGCCCGCCGATACCGGTGGTGAATGCGGGACGTCGAATCCGGAGCGGAGCGTGCGTAGACTTGACTGCTTCTCGTCGAGCGGCCGGCCACGGAGCGCAGCAGCCGGCAGCAGCAGCAGCAGCAGCACCACCTCTGTCGTCGAGGTCGTCCCTGTCGTCTCTGTCGTCGTCGCCGACGGTGACGACCCGAACGTCGTCG